TCTAATTCTATTAAGTGACCTTATCTATGATATTGTACACAGATATACGTATTTTCAACAAAAAAACATGATTTCATTCAGTCTAACAACTGAATATAAAAAACAATGTACTTGAATTCCAATGTTTGTTTTGGAAAAAAACAATGATGTATAAACATATAAAACTGGTAATACACATACACATACATACATTTACGTGGAAATGCATCGTTTAACCTTTGCTGTGTTTGACAAGTTTTTGAAACTAAAATTAGGATAGAATAATGTAGTAATTGTATGAGTGACTGTTGTCACACAAAACAAATATATAGATAGCAATGGAGAAAAGTGAAAGACAATCCATCATCGTCCAACAATTCATAGGTTCATGTTGGACAGTAGTAGGTTTAATGCGAAAAAAAACCCTATTAGAATAGCTGTTAATGTAAAATGAGGAATATTTGCCACAAAAAAACGCCAGTAATGCATCTCAAAACAGCAGTAATGAACAAAAAGTAGTTCTGGCAAAATTAGACTATTTCGTATATATATATTGTCAAGTTCTAGTGGGTAAAGTCTAATTATAATGCAGAACTTTAACGACTTCTAACTGACCCTGAGAGAATGAGAAAGCAGCAAATGTGAATGAATGCATGATAAACTAAAAAGAATTAACTTAGAATACATTTGTTTTACATGGTTAATGAACTCGTCAAAGTACGTTGTAGGTCCTCAGCCGTGACATTCCTCGGTTAGGATTTGAGATCAGTTTACATATACAGCACCCCAAATCCTGAACTTTAAATAATTGATTCCTAACCCTAACCACAACCTTAGTTCTGACTCAGTTTTAATCCTAACCTTAACAAGCAGTGTAACAAACCATCAATCTCGTATTTGATAAGTCTTGTTAATTTGAACGCTTTATTCGGTTCCCAAGCTAGAACTACGCAGCGACCTGAACTCGAGAGAAAATGTGCAAAATAAGCGAAAAACACTTTACTCCAAAGGTTCATTGTTGTACAGAAAAACACGGGTATTTATAGATGTTAACATTTGTTAAATCAACATCATATTTTGGCCAATCCGCTAAAAGACATATTATGCTGCTGACCAATAGTAGTACGCCGCGTTGATATTCTAGAAGCTCCATCATGCTCTGGTTGGCTAGGACTCTTCGGATCCTTCAAAGTCTCTGGAGGCTCCGTTAAAGTTCTCGGAAAGCCGGTTCAACAGTATTCCCTTCAACTCATTCAAAATAATTCCATAATAATAATAAACTTTTAATAATGACTACTCATGAGGCGGGTAGTCAGTGACTCTAAATGTAACGAATTAAGTGAAGAATAAAATGACAAGTTGGTATTTTCTGATTACAAAGGGCTTTTTATAACCATCTTATCAATATACAAGTAAATGTTGATATGATTAATCGTATTTTTTTTCCAGACAATGACAAGAAAATGCTTTTTACCTAGATTTCACAAAACACAAATTGTCATTTGTGGTGACTATCGTTTCCGGATTCAAAGAATTAAGTTAAAACTAGTTCAAACTTTGATATCCATATTTACTGTCGATAATCAAGACATATGTGCCACCGCATTCATGTGTATGTTTACATGGTGAAGCGGTAGGTGATAAACTAGGTAAGTCAACCATTCTCATTTGTATTGTTTGTTTTTTTTTAAAGAGAGAAACATACTGGTTGCAACCACTAATTTATAGGAGCATGGCAATGCTGGAAATGATTTGCATAAGTAAATATCCGTTAACTAATAGTTTAAAAAAATGCAAACCGACCACTATATCCATTATACGCTCAATACAGCAATGACGCACATACAAAGAGATTAGAAGTGCATAATATGAACAATAAAAGATGACAGTTAACTCTAAGTTTCTTTAATTGAAAAAATAGAAATAAATATTTTACTATCTACGGTAAATTACAAAGTCATATAATCACGGGATATTTTGGGTGTTTGAAGTGAAAGGTACTTCGTATGATTCCAAATAGGAACATCAACATTGGGATTCAAGTATATCCGGGACAAAACGTGAATTCTAAATTCAAAATATAGTAAGTGACAACGTTTTGTTTTCAATAAAAATACAATGAAGCAGGTAACCAGAATCTATACATCCATATTCCTACATTTTGACAGGTAAAATAACAATAAACACAGGACACTAACATAACATTTTGAATAATTCTGATAATAAGGTTAATTTTATTTAGTAATACGTATAGATTTATTGTTCAGCATTTCAAATTCTATCCGGGAAAACTATCTATTACTTGAATGACATCAGAGTTGCTATCACACGTAGGTAGAGTAAACATAAACTCGATAAATCCGGTTTAATACATAATTTCAACATCGATGTAAAGCAAATTTAAACTGCATCGCACATAAAGAAAGCTATCTATGACAGTAATGAAGTGGTTATTGATATCACGAAACTGACCAAAGTGGGACATTTATTAAAAACCAGGAAGCATTGAATAGCTTGTTTTTCCAAGTACAAGACTCCTCAGCAGTACAAACCATACACTAGGACGAAACAGATGTTCAGTGCTTCCTGGTGCTAAAAAGCATGCTTGACTTAATCTGGTTTGTGATATCAATAATATTCAATGATCACAAGCCATTAAACTGACAAAAATGTTATTTTCAGTATGGTGTGGAGATTGTTAGCTTTTTTTGAAATCATGAACCGATCGAGTGGTAATTCTCGGAGTTCTGGTGAGAAGTCGTGACTAGTGGAGTTAAACCATGTTGGGTGTGAGGTAATTATCCACCAAAGACAGTGAAAGTGGTTGGACAATGTCGTGGATTGATTGAAACTAGAAATTGACACTGTTGGATGACTGCTCACTGGTCTAGAGGTTAAGCGATAGTGAGCGAGACCGCAGACCATAGGTTCGAGCCCCGCATACGGGAATGTGGATTCAACTGTGAAGCTCATAAAACTAGATCACAATTCATACATTTGAAATGAAATAGTAGAATATACATAAGATCTGCCAATCACAAGCTGATCCTAGATGTACTCATTCAAGTTCATTGAACAAACGAAGAAGACAGTCTAACAAAGTTGGAATCCTATAGTGTAGAGAGATGTACACGAGTGAAACTGGCCACTCACTAATACAGATCATTTTTTAATAATTTAGATGACCCAAAGTAAAAATGAACTGGAAGAATAAACTGAATTCTAGGGTTATAATAATAATAGTAATAAATCACACGGTTAACTAGGACATCAATAGTACACTCGTAAAATATGATAGCTAGTTATAATTTATTACATAAAACAAACAAATATACACAAAGATAGAAAATGTTTTCATTAATGAAAAATTGTTCTTTTGGAGATTCCATATAGTTACTTCACTCACAATCACATACAAACACTAAGGTACCACCTTTTCTATAGAGGATTTCATCATCACAAACAATGCATTTAGACAATACGCGTGCAGACGCCATATTTGCATGTGTGTGTGAGAGAGAGAAATTGAGTGAACAAGTAACTGTTTTATTTATATCGAAATATGTTCGGACAATGTAAAATATGTCATTAATTAATTAACTAATTACTTAATAGAAGAATGATTAACGAATTAATAAACAATATTAAAATCAGAATGTCGTTTGACAAATAATAAGTAGGTTACATGGTATCCTGCCTTAAGTGTATGCATGTATATATGTATAAAGTTAGTGCGCATATAGCTAAAATGTTCTAAATAGTTCTCACGATTTCCAATTGACAATCGAATGATACTTGGCATTAATTAGTCCTGGTTACAAATGATTAATCATTAATAAACATGTGAACACACACAACAAGTATTTATGAGAGATTTTGTTGTGTTTACACCAAAATAAACAAAATGGGAGACATGTAATCGATTATTTCAGTATTAAAAGTATTAATTACTAGTTACTAACTACTATTAATAAGTAGTAGTGTTTTTAAAGACAAGGAAATAAAGAAATGCCATATCAATAATAGTCAGAATACTGTATTTGAAATACGAGTACTAGGTATCGGAATCCAGTATTGTTTCGTACATCTACACTACACACAAGACATATTTTCATCAGAAGTTAGGTATTGTAAATTTGTAATATTGAAGTGTCAAAGTAAGCTGATAACAAATTTGTAGCCATTGATATCTGGTTGATAGAAGAGGAAGGATAATCTTGTTAAGTAATACTTATTCCAATTATCCAGAGTAGCGGTTAATCGATGATCAGTGGTTAAATTTGGAAAGCATATAGGTATTATTACTAATTACTGTAAAACCGTGTTGTTTACTAAGATACATTTAAGTTTACTCAACTAAATAACGCTGAAATCTCTGTCTATAGATACAATGTATGTATCAAGTTCTATAGAAGAGTAGGTCTATGACTATATGTATAAATAAATGTTGAATGATCAAAAAGTGCTACTCTGTCCTCAATATAGACTGCAGTCAAAGGACAAACAACTAGCAGAGACAACTTGTCTAAGAAGATACTATCAAATTGAAAATAAGCCATCAATCGATCAAAACGCTAGGTGTATCCTGACAGCTATCAAGAATATAGAGAACTTTGGTCGTGGAGCTTTCATGGTTCTTCTGAACAACATCATAATCACAAACTTCAGTTAGAAGTAAAGTATTTGAATTTCTCCGAATATGACTAACAGGTTGTCCTGCCGGCCTCGATATTGATCAGAAATATGGAGAACTAACAACATGAAATTAAAGTAAACCGGTGTACTTTTTTTAATTCATCCCATTATGAATTAAGAACGATAATTTTGACAGCTAGTAGAATAATCAATGACCTTATAGGTTTGTTTACATTCAAAATACAGATGCACATATAACAATGACATGCTTATTTGTATAAACAACACTACATTACAAACCATTTAATGCATACAAGCCAGTTCAGAAAACAAATCTAAGAATCAATTAAATAAACAAATGAACAGCATAACATGGAATGACTTACATGATTCAAAGGTAACTTCTGAAATAACAATCCAATCATAATCAAACCATAGTGTAATCCGTAGATAACGACCTATACGAAAGCCTAAATCAATAGGGACCCAACGAGGTTTAGAGTTATAAATATCACGATGTATATCTAAAACAACCGGTGGATAATTCCGATCAAAATAATGACCACCATTACTGAATTGAACAGAGACTCGACGAAAAAGAGCAATATAGTCTAATGAATTCAAAGTATGGATACGGATTTGTGTAAAGTTACGAGCTGTAAAGAAATTAAATATATGAAAAGAAAACAATGATATAATATTATTGTAATCATTCAATTTTATTTTCAAATATGTCAAGTAACCTTCAATGTGTTAACGAACAAATTTATATTGACAAAGAAATAAACTAAACGCGAATATAAAATCAATAACAAAAATATTTCTTCTAAATGGCATATTTACTTAAAAGTTGAGTAGATTTTCATCACCGAAAATTACCAGAAGAAACACGATTATGTGAACTTCAGACTTGAAGGTTCTGGGTTTTGATTATTAAGAGGGGTTGTGGGTACACATGCCACACAGGAGACCTCAAAAACAAGAATGAAATAGCTTATCACAGGTTCCTAATTTTCAATAATTATCTAACTAATGTCAGCCTGTGATGTAAACTATAAATTTAACTTCCTGTAGCAGGATCATGGATGTGCACTGCTGAAAAGTGAAACAACTAACCAGTAATCCCTGGTTTTCAATATTGGTCTAGCTAAGATCACTAGGTGATTTAAACTACAAAAATTCTATTATCTTCATAAAACCCTACACAAATTTATTGTTTAACTAACAAGGGCTGTACGGTAGGCAATCCACGAATGAAGGGATACTTGGGTGTTACTGAAATAACACCCAAAAATATTTATTAGCCTTACTCAACATGTCTTAATTTTAGATAATATAGTAGATGAAACCTTACAGAAAAAGAAATAAACATTCATTTCAGTAGATACACATGTAGATGGAAAATCAATGGAAACTAAGGACCACTGAAAAATTATCTGATCTTAACATACAAAACGGTGCAGGATTGAACATAGGATTTTCAAGTTATGCTAGGTATGATACCATCCAAGCTTAGATCTAATATCTCAAAATCATACGGAGACTGGAGAGAAGGAGGAAATTCATTATTAAATAGAATGATCAATCGTGATTAAAGAAACTTAAGATGAGTTCCTTGGGCCAGAAACACACCATACAGCATCTCGAGCAACGGCATGAATATCCGAACTCAATTGTTAGTATTCGATAACGGAAAACGAATGAAGCCACTGTTCTACAGACGATGAATATAAAAGAGTCCTTAAGGATTTGAATACTTGAAAACATTAGAAATAGACCTAAATAAAATTGTCTATCGTGTTATTTTCAATATTTTGAAAACATGAAAGATTACAAGGTCTCATCAAAGCAAGTAATGTGATAAAATAGCTGGAAAATGTGTAAAGTAACAAACACTAAATTTTGAGCATAATGGAAAGTTTATAGCCAATAATCTGCCTATTTGTATAAGGTAGGAAAGGTACTTGGGAAAAAGTAATTGAATGTCTGCACTTCAAAAGTTTGGCTAGTAATTATCCGCGTCTTTCATTATTCATAAATGAAATTGCACAAATGAAGGTACTGAACTTCAAGCCTAATTGGTCTTTATTGCTCCAATCTGTTAGTAAAAAACCATGCTCATACCTCTGATAGTATTTTAGAAACATCTTGTTTACAATATAATCCTTTGTTCACTTCACCTCTAGATTGATGTGATTGACGTGTTATCACAGTAAACAAATTTCGTTAATTCTATGAAAGTTTCTGGGTGACAACCTGTCTTTTATTCAATATCAGTCAACTTACTAAATACTCATACAACTAACCAAATAAAGTGGAATACCTTAGATTTATATGGTATTCTAGAAACTATTCATACTTTAAAAGGAACATAGATTACAACATGATCCACCTCGTTTGAATTGAAGTTTATGTATTCCTACAAGCAAAACTTGTCATCGTTATCCTTGGAGAGATTTAAGGCAAACAAAAGATGGTAGATTGTTTATTCTTTGGTAAACAACTGAGTCATGGTTACCATAATGAAATGATGCAATAAAGAGACAAATTGAGAACCGTTTACATGATGATGACTCATAAGTTAGTTAACATCCAAATGAGCATTACTCAATCAATCATACTTTTGGACTGGTTTTTTTCAGGCTAAAGAGTTATACCAGATAGATTAGATAACTTAATTTTAAAGAAGAATAATCATGCTCGCCCAGTTCTCTTTACCTTTGCCCATCATTTTAATGTTAACCTTGGAACTAGAATATTCAGGTCAAGGTGATTGAACTGTCTGAGTTTGATTAAGATAAATTGAACCTGTCTGTCAGTCTCTACTCACGAAAAATAATCATTATTACAATTATGATCATATGTAGTGGTGGAACTTTATGCATCCTGTGCCACTAATGTAGTGTATATGTGAATATACACATACCTTTCTTAATAAAAGCTTACAGTGGACGCAAGTTTCGTTCAACTTTTTAGAAATAATTTAATAGTTCAATTCATGAGTCACTTAAAGCTAGACTAACATGGAAAATCTGGGAGCACTGGATGGCTGTTTTGCTTTAGTATGGGACTCCTCAGTAGTGCGCATCCACTTCATAAGCATTCATAGTTGCGTAATGTGTATGAGAACATGTAACGATAAGGGAATTCCTGAGAAATTCATACTCTCCTATAGATTATCAAGTTAGATGATGATAAACGATATACTACAAAGTTTCTTCACATATTCTGTTTTTAGTTGTTCACATGATATATATATGATATTGCTTCTAGTCACAGGCATTCATTAACTCCATTTCCAGACGGTATAGGGATAAAATGAAGTAATCCTTTCTGTAAAATGAAGAATATATTAAGGAATAAAGATTATTAACAAAATGTAAGAATCTCTACTGAGTATGAGTGTTTTCAGAGGATTGAATTGACATTTAGACTAGTTAGTGAATTACACACTGATGACACAAATGAAATTCTAATGAGAAACGCTTTAAGAGTAAGACGAGAAATTTCTAAAAAGTGACTTGAAAATAACTGAATATGATACAATGGAAGACAGACAATATTTTAACGAAACAAATAAGGTTAAACCCAATGGTTTTTTTAATAAAGAAATAATCTTTATAGCCTCATACAATGATTTGCAATCCATTGACAAGTCGATTGGAGTTAGATATTTTAGCTGAACTATAGGGTTTAAACGTTAATATGACTGATGAAAGATCTAGCAATGAGAAGTTTATTTGTTTCCAACTCGTCAAATACAGACTTATTTACTTGACTTCAAACAGTACTCTAAATGTGAGGGACTAGCGATATTATCCAGTTGCCTGAACCGAACCAAGTACAGAGTGGGTCAAACCTACGACTTAATGACTGAGAATCGAACGTCATTGCTCCAGATTGAAAAGCTTAGTAACAAACCAAAACAGCTGTTAAGGATTTTCTAGAAGTAAAACGTAATTCACCTAGCATCTATTTATTTCAACTTCATATTTCCACTCCTAATTACTAATTAAGAAAGCAGGCAAAAACTTGAAAATATTGAGATTAACATTTAAGAAATATTTTTTAACATGTAAATAGAGTACTGATTTGGAATTTCAATGAAGAAAAAACCATCCAACAAAGATAATAATAATAACAATCTAATTTCGAGAAAATCTCGGGATAAAATTATTAAACATACACACATACATGACACATCTACTAGTTCATCGTCTATATAGTTTACAGAAAAAGGTTATAAATTACAGTCTAAACCATAATTACTAAAACAGTTACAGTACAGGATACTAAGAGAGAGGGAGATGAATATTCATGAGGCAAGGGACAACATAAGCTAAGAAAAGCTATTATTACATATGGGAAAAAATATATTCACTTGATATATTTACACGCAGAATGTCACAAGAACTAGCTGTTAAATGTTAAATGTTATTTTGTAATTAAACCTAGGGAATACAAATAAAGGATAAACCATACATTGATCCATTATTGGTCGTCCTATTGTAAACTAATCAATGAAGTTCTAAATAATAACTGACAAGAATAAATTGAAAAAAAGACTAAATTATTGACAGTTTCTATAGTCTTTCTTGAATATTTATTTACAATATACAGCTAAGGGTTTTTTAACTATTGGGTAAAAGCTTTGGCTTATGGAGAGTAATAGTAGTGTTGTTTCATTGTTTGAACTAGTAGCAGCCTCAGTTTACATGCTGTGAACATGTTGTTACATGATGAACAGTTATTAAGTTATATAAACTAGTTGAACTAATTTGTAGTAACACCTTAGTTTATATACTCTTGAACGTTTAACTGAACGCTTGAATAATGAACTTTATTTTTGTCTAACATGTAGATTGAATATGCACATTTTTTCTGCAGTCTTTGAATTTAATCTGTTACTTAGTGACAGTGTCTGAAATAAATCCTCGCATATGACTTCGTATCTGAATTTCTGATATCACACTGCCAACAGTAATCAATTTAACATTAGGTTTAGACCAGAAAAATATAAGAAGTTGGCAGAGATCTTGAATACTTTTTGAGTGAGACTGTATTCAGAAAAATCTCCAATTAACTAATAAAATGCAAAACATTAAATTTACGATTTCTAAGTAATGGGAACCATTTTTCATTAAAGCAGCGTTATGCATTGGTTAAATATAAACAATGAGATAAGCTCACAAAAACCCTGAATTGAGTAAACTTCTATGAAAAGTAGACAGATGTTTTCATTTAAAGTCAGACTAAGGTTGTAATGGACAAAATGTGTACATTCATAAGATTGAAAATCACCCAAACAGAAAACATTGATATGTACTTTTTTTTGAACACAATATCTGAGTAAAATGGTTGTCGAGTTATTATTCTAATCAAAATTTGTTTTATGATTTACCTGAAAAAATTTTCTATCTCATATATGCAACTTAGTAATCAAGATTCTGGATTTATAATATGTCTACACTACAAAATTCGGGAAAACAAGTTAATTTTAAAGTATTAAACCGTTAAACGAACATCTTATAATCCATGTCACGAACTTATCTTAGTCAGACATCTAACGAAAACTAAGAGAGAATCAGATAGTTATTTTACTGCGATACATGAATGTTATGGGTCTGACTCCAGGAGGAATTGTCGATGAGCCTATTTAAGAGGACTCTATACTAAGATGAAACAGTTTCCCAGTCCTTCCTGGTTTTCAACGGTTTCCTTTATCTAAAGTCAGTTCGAAATGTAAAGTATGAAACGTAACTATTTCTACAAACCCTTACCGCTAAATACTTTTTTAAGTTATTACGTGGGTAATGTATGTTATATATACTTAATTAAGAGATAATATATCTTTACACTTTATCGTTCCGTTAGAATGTTAAAACAAATAATATTTATTTCGGTCAGATATGTGTTTATGATAAGTAAGAAAAGAATTATAAAACGATTCAAAAAATATGTCCTTTGGATTTAACAAAGCTATTTAAGAGTAAAAGTATCATACAATGATATAAAATATATTATTTGACATTTACATAAGCTTATTATACATACTTCCATTAAATGTAACCTTGACTGATTACATGCAAATTATTGGATATATTTTCATAGATAAAGGAACTTTGGAGATTTAAAGCAATTTTCATAGCGAAATAGCATTATAATTGGAGAATCCAATGACAAACCAAAAAAGAGTTGGAAAACTATTTTATAGTGTTTTGAACTCATTACCAGTTGACTAAATACACAACTGAACACACAAATAATTAAAATAACCCATAGTGTCATTGAATAAGAAAAAGAGAATTCAGCGAAGAAAATTTTCTTTTCGACGAAATCATTTACTTAAGCTGTACATTCGTATATATAGTTATATGGAAAATGTATGTCTATAGAAGGATAGGAAGGATTGTATCACAAAAAAATGGATTCGAGAATAAATAACAAATAAGGTTAACGTACTAATCAAGGGGTAAGGGGGAACAGAATTTATGGGTCAGATAATAGTCCAGTTGACAGATTTCGTCGAAAAGAAAATTTTCTTCGCTGATTTCTCTTTTTCTTATTCAATGAACACACAAAGTTGAACATTAGGGATTTACAAGTTCCATGATAACTACGATACAGTAATTACTGATTGTTAGTAATAGAGATGTGAAATCTCGGAGTATTATTATAAATATGTGCTCAATACTTGATATTTTAATTCAAGAAATTTGGTACAAAACCCAACTGATTTTTGTTCATGATGGAAACGATCGTTATGTTACATTTTTAAAGTCTTCCCAAACCTCCTAAATTTGTTGGAAAAACGGCAAATTGCTGGTAAGAATGAGGAAATATATAACAGTTCGCAGATGAAAAAAAGACAATCTTCTGCTTAAAATATTGCTCATCCACCTGGATTAGATAATACTACTACGAAACCATAAAACATCATTATACGGAAATATCAACTAACCTTGATCAAATTTAAACAACATTGTAATACGACCAGATGGATTGATAGTAGGTTTTCGTCGAAACCAGCCAACAACAGGACTACTACTGCCGCTGTCTATTTGTTCAGGTAAACTGCCCTCAAAGTATTGTTTGTCCATTAATAAACCAAGACCGCCAGTAAGATAAGCGGTACGTTGTTGTTTATCCATGTTATCTAGTTCCTTAGTGTTGGTAGTCATTAAAGACGATTCAGGAGAGATTAATACACCATCATAATTGGTATCGTTTAAAACAAAATCACCACGAGGATCAAGTCTATAGACATCTCCTTCGGGAATAGAATATTCAACAACTCCATCTATTTTATTCGACAAAAAAAGTAATAATAATAATAAATTCAGCAACTCAACAGTGAATAAAATGAAAACAGATATGATAAAAATAATTGAATTCTGATTTCTAGAAGAAATAAATTGTTCCTGGGTTGGTAGTAAACATTGTGAATGAATGACATTGTCAAGTTATTTTAAAGTACAACTTGATGAAGTTAGCATTTTACTATTATATGAAATGGAAATCTCGATGGATTTAATATTAATAAAGAAAAACAAATACGAAAAATGTAAATAAGAAATAAGTTAATGGGAAGATATGTGAACAAATCAGTACAAACAACCGTTTAGCATTACATTTCATTCTGTGTTGAGATGTATCTAAGGTAAAAGTGTGTATTAGAAGATTATGATACACAATCATCATTAAATCAAAAGACACATTATATTTAACTATAGAAATCAATATGAATAAAAATATATATTCTAACTTGAAATAACGATCATGCTATTGAACTAATCGTCCCTCTAATCAATCTTCTACTCTGTATAATTGTATATTCAGAAAAAAATCTGTGTTGCAGTATACACAAGAACGTTATCAAATATTACATGTATGCTTTACAAGGGAGTAGTGAAAGCCTATAGCATACGCAATCTCGCATGGTTACATCATTAACTGATTGCATTATTTATCATTCCACAATGACTAAATATTGTCACAACATACACTTGGTTGTCAAAAGTAATTTCTAGGCAATGGATTCGGATAATTACTATCAATAGATTTTTTAAGGAAAGTTATTTTAAAAGCTTTATGGATAATAAATTTTTCTTGAGAAAAGTAAGATATTGAAACCTAGAAACATTTATTAATTTTGGTGTTTTCCAACAAACGGACAGAAACAGAAAACTAAAGTATTTGTAGTCAATGCATAATACATTATCGAGGGGATATTCGTTACACATTGATATTAGTTTATTAATGATTACAATTTCATATTACTGAAGAATTGCTCTTCTACAAAACTGCATTCTTTCGGTTCCATGATAAACAATTTAACCCTTGGTTAATGTGTAATTCAATATGGAATCAAACATAATAAATATCATAGGTATGTAGTTGATAACAGGGTCATTCAATAATTCCTAATTTCTAATAACTATTTGATTGGTATTAGCTTAGTTATGTAAACTACTTCAAATATCAAGAATATCAGTAAAACAGAACATTTTGGTTGATGTTAGTTTCAAACTGACGAAATCAAAATAACCAGTGTAAATAATTCTAGACGAAAATATCCCTTCTCATAGCGATATTGTTACAATAATTTCTCAAATATGATAATCTAAAAATAATTAGCTAAAAGACTAATTCATTACTAACCTAACTGTTTAAGTGTAAATGAAAGTTATGTTTAAGAATGAAGTAGACTAGACCTATTAGTTAGATTTATGGATATAGAGAATAAAAAGAGAGATAACTGCTTATTTCACATTAGCATAAGTAAATAGGTAAGTGAACTGAAGCTAACAAGTATATTGATCACTGAAAGTGAGTTCAGAAAATCAACTTTATAAAGTTGGATGGATAACCTGCAACTTATAAATCAAGTACTTTCAGCCACCCAGTGAAGATGTAAAATTACAGGCTTCTGTTGAAATCTACTTGATCACTATCGATAACTGTTGTCTTTGAAACAAATATCATAAACTAACCGTTGAGAATACTTAATGGCTTGTGAAATGACTGAAATTAGAAATCTAAACCAATAAATACCAACTCAGAGGTCTGAAGTCCGAGCTCTCTCTCTCTGTGGCTTGAAAGTCTCTGGTGCGATCCCAATGAGTACTGTTAGGGAACGAAACAACCGTTCAATGCCTTGAGGTTCTCAATTATTGTCCAACCAAAGTCGCTACGTTATGTAAGACTACAAATTCAGCAATCTCCACATACACCCTCTATACTAGTATTGTGAATTATTGAGACTTTCCAAAACATTGGTTTTATACATAATATTATATATATACCATCAGCTTCAACAATAAGTAAATGATGGTATTCAAAATTCTAACGTAATAATATAACTGACTGACAACTGAAACAAAATCTCTCTACTTTGTGAGAGAATAAATAAATAAATAAACCATACACAATTAATATCTAAGTATACAGATCGAAAATGACAACACATGAAGAGTAGACGTTGTACATTGTGTGTATTTTATAGTTTTGAGAAAAGAATAAAAAGTAGTTAAGAATGTCCAAAATATTATTGTCCATCCATTAAATTTAATGAATATGTAATAGTTTTATTTACACTAAACAATATACACTATTTGTATTGTAAATCAGAAAAATAAATAAATAATTTGTCAAACATGTCATCATATCAAAATTATGATGGTTACACATAGAAATGATTATTTAATTAGAATTTGAGTTGTGGGGTAAACACATACAATACAAAGTGACACGATGGGCCAATGTTCATTTTAATACAAACATCTTCATACCGTACATACATACAAACATCATCATCATATACACAATACAACTACTGATCATCAATTCAGTCGATACTACAATAATATTCGTAATAATAGTATCAATGATAAATTCCTTATAGGATAGGGTGAAAATCAAATGATAGACAACAAATTTACAAAATGATGTGTTGACGATGCTGATAAGACGATCACTGTTCAAATAATTAATGACGGTGTAATTATATCAATGAATAATAATTATGACAATACTAGAAATTATATATATATATATATATATATATATATATATATATATATATAATGTGATGAACAGAAGTAAAAGATTGTTGGAATGTTTTATGGTCAATATTTTCATCTATAATTCTTTTGAAATCACGAACCGATCTATCTAAATTAGACAAAGTCGTGTGAACTTGTTTGAATAAGTGAAACAGCTTTAACTGCGTAATAATATTACTCTGTACATATAATGTGGAACAGTTAGTATACGGGTGAGTAGAATATAATAGTAAAATTTACTTACCAAGTACTATGGAGATAAATGCTTTTGGAGTTGTTGTGTTGCCTGAGCAAAATGGTTTGATTGCAGAGTTGTCACTGTTGTTCTAGACAGTGCCTAATTTATGCAGAAATTAGCATCTTAATTATTCGACTGTGATAAACACTACAGTATACACAGTAGACAACTTCATAACCTCTAACCTATCGGTACACAAACAAAGACTTTCAGTAAAACAACACTATATTATCACTGATATCAATGTATGTGGGCAACCACAAACATAAATTCAACTGGGAAAACGCTAAAATTCTGTATTAAGGAAATTCTAAGAATGCCAGAGGCTTTCTAGGTGCATGGTATTCAAGATAATCGGGAACCAAATTATTCATCGAAATGAACTCGTATCAACTCATACGATAAAAGTCAATCGATTATATGGTTAGAGGTCAACTGAACAAGAGTCAACTTCAACAGACGGACAAATGAAGATGAAGAAGCCCACGAAGATAACTAAAGCTAACAGGAGGAAGTGATTTAGTGCTTGTGGAATAACTAATAATCTCATTTCTACACGAACCATCTCGTTGAGGGAATTTAACAATACCAGAAACAAAACAGCTGTAAAACACTATGTTTATATGAGAATTATTGATATTAGTTGGCTGCCTAAGCATGTAAATACACAGTGGCAGTTAAAACAATCAGCTTTCATATTGTCAACATCTATTTTGTTCTCGTCAGGCGAGCAGTATTACACATAGTACAACACCTAAAACTAAGTACATAAATATCCGATTAGAAAGTAAATGAGTTCATATTACAATTAAATCTACTGATTTCCTAAACGTATTTGTCGATCCAGCCATCTCAAACATTCTAATACTCGTATCAATCAGTACAAACGTTCAAGTAAGAAGAATTGTAAACATAACTTGAGCAAATTAATTAAAAATAACTCCGATCATATATAAAAAACAATAATTAAAATCACTGACCATTGAAAACAGATCCATAAATAGCCAATCGAAGGCACATTAATTTTGGATTGGATTCCATAGTATAAGGCAATATTCGTAATCGTTTTGCTATAATTGGTGGATCTAATTGAATTACAATTGTTTGACTATTTCGATTTGCGTGAAGTAACTAAATAGAAAACATAACAAAAAGAAACATGAAATAAAGAAAACAAAACGTGAATAACCTGTTTGTTTCCTTTTAATACCTCGTAAAAAGACAAAACAAATCAGATAAATGTGTAAATAAATAAATAATTCATAAATGAGAAAAATACAAGTTATTATCATCAACTTAGTAAAGTTGCATGTTTCCACCAAACTTACCAATGTGCAACCTCAAGAGGTAAACGATAGAGAGAGAGATACAATGAAAATAACGAGATTGAACACATAGAAAGAAGAAAAATGTATCGAGACTTTGTATGTGTGCGAGAGACAGAGAAATATTAAAAAAGAAAAAAATCAATCCCATAAGACAAAACGATTATTCGGTCTTAATATTTTTTATCTCCCACTCTTCTTTAAATTAGGCCATATTATGATTTATGAGTTGGGTTGACGTTGTTGTTATTGCTTTATTTTAGCAACACAAACTATCTGTTCCTTGATGGAGTTCATTAAAACGGTCAACCAAGTCAAAAGTGAAATGGAGGGAGGGAGGGAGGTAAGGAGAGCTGTTGTTCAGTATCATGAAATCATAAATTAATCGTTTCTGTCAAAATTACTTACAATTTATACATATATAAATGTACACCTTCGTAACTCTACAATGCACACTAACAAATGTCTGTGCGTGTGTGGTTGTGGGGCGACATGAATACATATACATGAAGATTTAACTAAGATAAATGAAGTTATTAATACAAAATGGGGAAAAATATTTAGACAGATTGAATAGAGGTGTTGTGTATACACAGTATATACTTCTCTTGCTTGGTAGTCATGTTTATGTATGTGTGAGTGCGTGCATGCATGGGTGTATGTTCATGTGCATTTATTTCGGCGCACAATGTATATGAAACTGATATTCATTCAAATCATTACAATTATATTCTATACTGATACATATGGTGAATTCAAATTAGAAGTGTCAAATCATATGTAAATACAAAACTGTGCACGTACCAGATTACATTTATTTTTATTTGCTATTAAGAGTTAACATTAGGCATTTGGGAATAGAAATTGATGCGATTAACATTACCGTATGAGCTTATTTGCTTTGTTTTTTAATGTGTGAACGATGTTAACGTTGGTGATAACTTTGTATCAGACGAGATAATATAAACTAACACACACTTGGATTAGTTTTGATTTGGTCATTTATTCTCTGAAGAAGTGGCTTACACCGAGTCACGAAACATCAGAAAATCTAATTTTTCTACGCATTACAAGTATGTTAATTATTTATAACACAAGATCTGTCTACGAGTTAGGCGCAAGCGTTAAAAAAGTGAAATTACTAAAGAACAAGAAGTAATAATAAAATTATATTATATTCTCATAAGAAAAGAAGATTGCCTTCAAACGATTGAATGTAATCCATAAAATGATTAAAACATTAAAAAAAAAAACTATTCCAGTAAGTCTATTCGACTACAGTTAGATTTATTAATTTAATCTTTCTTTTGAAAAAACAAGTACGAAGTGAAAGTCTTTTTCTTTCAGGAGAAATTTATGATCGTGTTTACAACTGATTCGATCACTGAATAGTGATCAATGTCATGTATGTCAAGCTTTTCTTTGGTGATGGTCGAATCCCATCGGTCAACGTGGAATGTGGCTACTAGTCTACGTGACTCGACATCCTGTAGCACTACGTTGAGATGGATGAATGATTGTTCTTTAACGAACTCCAGATACTAACTCCAACTCTTTACTATTAACCCGGTAAATTAGTCGGTCAGAGAAGTAGAAAGTAGGATCGGGTAACAAATATGTCACGATATGAGTTATCATACCATATATTAACACAGTCAGAGAGAAAATGAACAAAGTAAGAAGTGGGTTATGAAGTGAATAGCAATATCCATTTTAATGTGAAGCTAAACATAAAAAACAGATTCCATCACGGACTGCCTGTATCTAAACAACCACTGAAAATTATCAAGCATTGAGAAGTTGTCCCATTCTAATACGGGACTTTTCAGCAGCCAGATGAAAAACATCAATATGGAAAAAGTTAAGGATCAAAATAAAATATTTAGTGAAGATAACACTCTAATTCGCAGAAATCACTCACTAAAACAACAGAAAGCCAGTTGAAGATGTTAGATACAGTATACTTATTAAATATTGACAATATTATGAATAATTTCAATCTAATAAAAACTACAGCCATATTCATCAATCATTTAAGTACTAAAACTCTCTCTTCTATTGATAAAACGATAATTTAATCTTTGTAAAAACAACTCTTCTGAATTATCACTTTTCACGTTAATAAACTATAAACACATTTGAAGTTATTAAAACACGTATTATTTGAATGAAATGATGTAATAAGCAAGAAGAGTATTTGATTATTCATAATTTACTAGCCATTTATTATAATTTAATGTATCTTGTTTAGTAAAGTCACGTTTACAGCAATTGTTAAACTTATTATTAATTAAATGACCCATCATTGTACACATACATATAGATAAACCATTTATGAGTATAATTGTAGAAGAAAAAAACCAACTTCATTCTTAAATGAATACTACTACTGCTATTGTTACTACTCAGTTAATAACAAGCAGAGAATTTATTTTTACAATTTTAATTTAACTCGTTCATAAGTTCATCATATTCTTCTTCACTCTATAAATAAATAAAATATCTATGAAAGGTGTTGACGGAAACAGTTAGGTAGAACAATAAAAAAGAATGAGAAGCTAACTACTACTTATCTTTACATTTTGAGTAATCAATAGATATTCTGTATACATACGTCGGACAATAAGCTGTTCAATTGTAGTTGTTAGACATGTAAAAATAAGTAAATTATAAGGTCAATGACTTATTGATCAGTAAGTAGTTATGGTACTACAACAACAACCACTACTCTTGTCTAAATTCATTTGACATAATACATGCAACACTATTGATACTATTCAATATAAATCAATGTACCATGTTATTGACAAATATGACTTGAAATGAAAAGGGAAACAGGAAGTTGGATCTGTGAAGAATACAATAAGACAGATAATTAAATATGAAATGCATTAAAAAGTCAATCAAAATGAAAAAGTTCAACGACATAGGATCGTGAAGATTGTTGAGTTTCACTGCGATCATGAACCAATAAATGTTAGACTGCCATTGAAAATCGGGAAGCACTGGATGGCCGTTTCGTCACAGCATGGGACTACTCAATGATGGTCTAACATTGGTCAGTTAATGGTCTCAATAAAACTCAACAGTCTCCACAACCCTATACTGATAATCATTATGTGCTCATTAGTGACTAGCTTCGAGAGGTCATTCTCGGAGTTCTAGTGAGAAGCTGTGACTAGTGGAATTTAAACGTGTCGAGTGTGTGGTAATCACCCACTGAAGATAGTGGAAGATGGTCACGTAATACTGTGGATTGATTGAGGTTAGATATTAACATCGTTGGATGCCTGCTCAGTGGTATAAAGGTTAAGCGTCCGCGTGCGAGTCCAAAGGTCCTATTTCCAAGTCCCATGCGCAGGATCGTGGGTTCGCACTGCTGACGAGTACCATGCTAGGACGAAATGGCCGTCCAATGCTTCCACGTTTCTAATGGTGGCATGAAATGAAAAGAACTACCCGTGATTAACTAACACTGCTGTTTGCTAGTAATTACTAATAATTTCATGAAAAATACATAATAACATGTATCATGAAGTTTTTTAAACTCAAAAGAAGCATATAACAGGTTTTTTAAATTAGGAAATTGATTACGGGGAAATTATACGTTATAAATTTTATCCTAGTTGCCTTTATCTTTTATTTACCTTGCTTCCATTTCTCATTCGATATTCATACCATTTCGTGTTATCCTCTCGTTGATATTTAATGATAAACATTGGAACAAATGCATTCTACAAACGAGAAAGAGAGAGAAGAAAACACTGGGGATATTAAATAGTTCCATAATAACTTGAACACATTTATTCTTAGGGATAAAATGAAATATTTTCGTCCGATTTAATCAACTGGGATTATTTGTAACATGTAAGTGGTTGGTTTATCATCACCTGTACTTGATAGCGATAGATCACAATTTGAAATTTTTACTGTTAAACAATATATTCTGAAAATAATCTTTCTTTTTGTAAAATAAGTCAGTCACAAATAGAATGATTAATGAATTCAATATAGTGTGGGATATATATATCAGTATATTGACACGAGCGGAGAAAAAAGTCAAAACGAGATCACGAGTTCAATAAGTTTCAGAAATAGGCTACCTTCAATATAGAGTAAGAATCGATATTAGTCAGGGTTGCAGATCATGTTCATTTTACGCAATACCTATTTGAAATAATGAAGTCATCCAAATTAAAAATACCAATAAATATTATTGTTAAGAACCAAAAAATATATGCAAATAATTTAGGATGACACAGTTGCCTCACCTCAATAACTAATAAAAAAGTATTGGAATAAAAAATTTACAGAGATGGTTCATTTGCTCGATAGTGACTAATTTTGAGATGTAAATGGTGGATTTTTGGTGAGAAGCCGTGACCGATGGAGTAAAAACATGTAGGGTATGAAGCAATTACCCACAATGGAATAGGATGATGGAACAATATTAGGAATTGGTTGAAGTTAAAAATATCAAACATTGAACGCCTACTCAGTGATTGAAGGTTATTTACTGGATGTGACACTTGAGGATCCTGGATTCAACCTTACCTTAGATCATGGATGTGCACTTCTGAGGAGTCCCATACTAGGAGTAAACAACTATTCAAGGCTCCCTGATCTTCAATGGTTACTTAACTAAGGTTAATCAAGGAAGTAAACTATGAAATCCATTAAAATTAATTATCCAAAAAGCGTTGAGAATTTATTTATGTTTCGCATGATGTTGACTAGACAAGAATAAAGTTATTAATTATCAAAATTTGGTGAAATATGTTCAAAATCATTATACATAGCCTACGATCTCCTATTTGTATCTTTCAGTGTGCTCTTCCATCTGAACTGTATTCTCATCTGATGTCACTTTCCGCTACACACTAATTACAAACAATCTTGTGAATAGCGTCCACTAAGGTAGTGAAAAGGTGTGATGATAAACAATAATTAAAGCTTTCATTTGTCGGGATCAAATCTTACGAATCATAAATCGATCTGATCCAACATGAAGTTTATATGTACTAAACCTATGACATTTATTACAGAAAAAAAAGCACAAAAATAATTTTTACGGGCTGTATGAATAGGTAAATAATTCAGATGTTGAAAAGCATTTAACAATGTTGAAACTTATTTATTTCTAATTCTAACAAATTCAATGGGAAAATTAAAATGCTTTCAAATGTATGCATACACTTAGTGAATTTGAAAACTATAGACACACGTTTAGGCACGGTGATTAGAATTATTGAACACAACTACACCACATAACTGTACACATTCCAAGATTTATAGACAGGAAAAATTAAAGTGAACTAGTATAAAAATAGACGAATTGTTGCCAGCCATGTTCTGATTTCTTTTGGGGACAAAAATGTTTCATTTACCCTGAGCGCATGCACACACACATCTCTACAGTCAGACAGTTGAATATCAGTGTTCCAATACAAAGGAAAGTCAAGAACTTGAAAAACAAGAAAAAAGCAGAAAGTATTTATTCAAAGAAATAGTTAAATTAAACAACATACCAAAAAGATTAATATACCACTTAGACTTATTGTATCGCAGGCATTGTGGACAGGGAGGAACATGTGTGGTATAAGTAGTACAGTTGTTATCTCTTATCATCAGCATCACTGAGAAATTCATATGTATATAGATCATGTCAAATTTTTAAATATTTTGATGGAATAGATGAAAGACAAACAAGAAGCGAGAGATAACAACTGATGAAAATTGGAACATTGAACAGAATAGTTTTTGTTTAAAAGAAATTTAGTAATAAATAAAACATTTATTTTATTCTTTAAATACAAAAAAACGACTTATATGTTGAATATATATTCATCCCTAACAGGATAACATTGCTCTTTTTTAAGAAATCATAGCCTGTTATCACAGATACTGTGCAACTAAGCATACATGTAGCCCTATCCCCCCTTTGGTAGAGAGAATAGACGATGTGATAAACAAGACTTTTCATCTGTTTATATAGGAGTATAGCAGCAATTGCTTAACAAACATCCTATTAACTAACTCAAATAAACACCTTATCTTCTACATTTCTATTCCCTTCTTTGAGCGGAGAAATGGGAATGAAGGAGAAACAAATGTTATCTACACTGGAAATCACCTAAAGCACATGAATGGCACCAAAAATGTTCAATATATTCATACATACTGTAAATAGTTCATCAATTATAGTGTAATTTAGAGTGGTAGCCATATATATTAACATCACGACTTTTCATTCGACTTATTATTACTCGTCAATTGAATACACAACTCACACTCACTCACAAATTTATGAAAACTAACTACTACTATTACGATGCTACTTATTTGCTGGTTTTGTATCTTGATTAAAGTTAGTTAATAAAGTTTGGAACAGTAACTTGTTGATTAGTTGCATTAAGTTACTAGGCCAAAGGTTACACAAACAACATGTTGGTTTCATTGAACACTGTTTACATGTTACATAACATTATAAGATTAACTAGGCGTATTCCCATTAATCTACATACAACACTTTCTAAATAAGAATGATTAATTATATAAATTGTAGTTTACTTTGAAACCAAAGGTACTATACGCATACTACACTTCTAGAACAACATTATAATTGACGAGGTCAACTGTCATACAAGGGAATTCATTCGCACATTGAAATGAATTTGTTAAATATCCGACGGACAAAAAACATTACCACACAACATGATGACAAGAGGAAAGAAATTTGATTAAAAAATTATTTTGCAATGCAGATGTATCTACTGACAGAATCATAGTGATTGGATTTATTATTAATTAACTGTTTATAAACAGTCAATAATTAAGTAGTATGAAGATTGCTGAGAGTAGTGAATACAAATAAATATGAAACAAAACCGTTGATCGATAGGTTTTTTTTTCAATGTTATAAAATACGAAAGCTATCTCTGGAGCTTAAAAATGAAGTAACCATGTGAACTACCATTACGACTGCCACTACTACTATCAATAATAATATGTAAATTGAGGGCGCCAACAGCTTGTGAGATAATATCATCTACATTAAACCTTTATAAAAATTTCGATGAACTAATGCAGTGAAAATGTAAAATCTAACGTTTAAGTAAATACAAAATATTCTATTGTTGTGAAAGTGTGAAATTACCATTTCAATGACAAATATTATCTTTTGTTCATTACCATAACTAAATGAAAGAACTTCTAATATTCAGACAAATATTTTACTAACCAATTAAGTAGTTGTTACCACACGGTTAGATATTCCCTTTCGTTATAGATCAACATGAAATAAAACAGGACATTAGATGAAAAAGGACATATTTATGCACTAATTATCCATGTGAAATATACACTAAAGAATGATGTGCAAATCAATCACACGCGATGTAAAATCTGATGTAAACATGTATCGACTCAAATGATTGTGTCTTACGTCAGCAAAGTGAGGAGTTTAAAATGATGAAAAGCAGACGAAAAGAGAAATTAATAAGGTTCATTATTGTGGTAGAAAGCTAAGTATACATTGACTGATCACTGAGTAGTGAATACTGTCATTTTTATTAGTCCCATTCTACCGACTAAGTTGCAGTGTCGCTACTAGTTTAAGTAACTCGAAATCGCGTGCACTTTTTTATGTTAGATGGTTTGGTGTAGTCAAAAGGATGTCTCGCAGTCTCAGACGTTATTACCGAACTATTCAGGTCTCGGTTGACCTCTTGTAGGACTGAGAGTTTCCTACCCATTTCCTCTAACCATTATCTAATAGTAAAGCCAAGTATAAAACATACGATTTGACAACTATGGAATGATAAAAAAGCCAAAATATAGAGTAAAGAATGAATACAAAAGAAAAGGACTTAACAAACTCATATACTTTATTAATTCCCTATGGATGGTTTTCATGTGACTCTACTCATCAATCATGCACAGGTTTACGTATTCAAGGTTTTGAACTACACATTTATTTATTGTGTGATGGCATCTAGTGATACTACCCAGGTGTTCAGACGAGATAAGATGGAGCACTGTGAGGGTTTATAACCTACAAACAGGACATCGAGCATGTCTGAATACAAGAAGACACTGCAATCCCCTCACATATATCATTTAAATAAAGAGGGCAAAAACTGAAAACAATCGTAAGGTGTCAATATATTTGAAAAATAAACGAAAGAAAAATATTCTAGCGTCAAAAATTGTAATAAATAACAAATGTTTGTAAATGTTACATAGATAAAAGAATGGGAGAACAATTAATTATCGTAGTCAGTCAAACAAACACTTTTAAATGTATAAAACTACTGTCTCTCCTTAAGTTGTTGCTGTTTCCATTTTAATTCAGTTAGATGGAATTATGATCAAGCGAAGGCGTTGTTTATATAGACAAAACAACAATAAATGACTTATAACGGTGACGATGATAATGAATAACGATAAATAAATTACACATTTGACCTTAAGAAAACTGGGCCAGGCCAGATTCGTTGACATCTGACCTGACAGTATAACCAACCAATCACAAACCTATAATACCCATCATAATTCATCCAAAAAGCTATGAAAAGTGAAACAAACAATAAAAAACAACTAACTAAACTAGATAGACACTATGACAGGTTTGACAATAAAGGATAAGTTTATTAGTATTGATATAGGCAGCTTATGAAATAGAAATATTCACCTGGTGTAAATATTGTTTTGTTTTGAGATAATATTACTGAAA